CCCCACCCCTTTCATCCCCCCCCCTTCCAATAGTCTGGCTCTGCCCCAGGCGTCCACGATTCAGCCGCTGCTGGTCAGTTTCAGCAGCTGCTGAATCGGGGAAGCCGGGTGCAGCGCAGCTCCAATTGTCCAGCTGCCCAGAGCACTTCCGGGTTCCCGATGGTGCCGGACCATCAGGAGTGCTGGAGCATTGGATGCCGGACCAATAGAGTTTTACTGTATATGTAACTGCGTGTTGCAATGTGAAGTTCCACTTTTACCATGATACCCACAAAAAGCATGTCAGACATTTTAAACTGTGCATTTGTAATATATGTTTAATCTAGTGCATGTGTCTTTACAGGGTAATAACATAACTTAATTCACCAAACATCCTCAAACTATTGTATTTGCCTTTTAGTTCCATCGTTGTCTAAAATTAGATAACATTCTTTTCAGTGCCAAGATTATTTCTTATTTATAATGTGAGGTACCATGCACACAAGTGTGCACTGGAAGTAAGTGGAAGTAAGTTATAACAGTTGCAGCTGCACAGTACAGAAGAATTGTGAAATTGAGTGAAATCTATGCTGTAGTCCTCAGCATGCAGTCACTCAGAATACGCCATTGAAGTGGTAAGGCAGTCTATGGTTTGAGAACAAACTGATATTGTTCGGGTGGAAGTGAAATTAAGAACCAGAAAGTAATTTATTAAGAAATCTAACTGGAAAAAGTTGTATCTACCATTTCATTCCAAGCTGACTATAACATTGCAGCTACAATCCTAAAAATACATCATGGCTGGAACTAACACTTTCTATTCCTAGCATGCAGGTAAAACAGTCTTTGATTTAAAATTTGATATGTTTTGCTTTCAAGGGCAAGTTCTATAAGAAGAAAGATGCAACCACACAGAATGAAATATGACTTCCACCTTGCATTTCTCCTCCTATTTAGTTACTGTTCAAATATTCTGCATTCATTTAAACCCAGGTTTCATCTCCAGTGAGGTTTCTTTTATATTTTTATGAAAAGTATCTGCAAGGTCAACACTGCCCTACTTACCAGGAGGAATAGGCAAAAATATAGGATTTCAGCTATGAAACCCCATTTCAAATAATTAATTATACAGAACATGATTTTAAAGGTTGGGTTTTTTTTCCAATCAGCCCTTTAAGGAGGAGCTGCCACCCTGAGAAAATTTTCAATAATAAAACAAATAATACTACCCAACACCTTTAGTCTAGGAATCTCTACAAATTTTACAAACATTGAACTGCACAACCTCGTTGTGACATAGATATTGGTATACCCATTTTACAGATAATAATAAATACCTATTGGCCTGTCCTATGTATTTAAATATATTTGTATTTAAATCCATCTTGTCTCCTCCTATATAACCTTACAGTGAGGTCAAAATTTTAAATATGTGATGTTTTATAAAGCAGTCACACAAAAATGCCTTGGGATTTCTAACTCCCATGATTTTATAACAAGTCTTGCAATAGTCATTATTTTATTTAAAGCTCCAGCACCTGGAGTCCCACACATACAAGAGAATCTCTGCTCATTAAAAAAAATAAGAGAGTCCCCATGACCCATGCTTACAGGGAAAAGAATGAAAGCACAAACAGGAAAGGCATAAAAACAGAAGGCAAATAAAAAACAAGCATTTTTAAAATCTCATAATTTGGTCGCCAGCTTTCTGAACAATACTGGTACTTATGGACTGAACAATTTTAAACATGGATTACTACATACAACAGACTTTATTTGGGTCCTGATCTATGCACAAGTCCCCTGACAAGTCAGATTATAATAATTGTAATATCTGACCACTATTGACAATCAGGGTCAAACAATACCAGAAACCTCAACAAGAACAATCAATTATTCTGTAAGTTTTCAAGCATCTTTGCTCAGAAACAAATCACAACTGTTGTGAAAGCCCATAGTCACCCTCTCTCTGAAATTGCTGAATAAAAAACAGCTGAACTGCTAAGGGTTATACTGCTGATGAACTCAAGCAATAAAAAGTTCCATTAATCTATCAAGGATGATACAGATACAAGTATTCTTGTTGTGTGCTTAACTAGCACCATTTGTACATAGCAGATATGTCAACAGAGTGTATTAACCATGCTATATGAAATTAGTTGGTAGGTTCTCAATTCAGATCCCAGGAAACGAGTCACCACTTTGTACAACTATCCACTAACTGGTTTTCTGGCAATTTAAAAAGAGAAAGTAAGGGCTGAAAAGGCATGAGAAACTAAAGAAGGTCCCTATAAAGATCATCAATTGGGTCACTGTGAGACAAGTTACACTACTTATATTGTACCTTACAGCCACAGAAAAGCAATCTTCGGGACTGGCACCTTTCATAAACACTAAAATGTTTTTTGGTTTTTTTAAGTGTGTATGTTTGTTTTTAGAGGGTTCCTTTTTCCATCTATCATCATCAACATACTGCATAAGTGTGTGCTTCCTCAATACAGACTATTTCTTTTCTGTGTAATTTCTTTTAAAAGTTGCGTGTCTTAAGGATCACCCACATAAGCTAAATGTCCTTTTTTATATCTTTTGTCATATCTTTGAGGTAAATAAAACACAAAATTCCAAACTTGGTTTTCTTCAATATACTTTTATCTCACTGAGGTTGGGAATGTTAAATTGTGGTTATCTGACTAATCAGGTAGTCAATACTATTTGTATCAACTACACTATTAGTCGATAAGGACCACTCTACAGAGCCACCTCGCGCTGCAGCTCTGTATTTTAGATGTAGTAAGAGCCACTAGGCTCATTTCAAATACAGAGGCACAGTCCCGGACCAGTGCGAGCCAGGACTGCTTGGTCCCAGCTCTCACTGAGTCCAGCAGCCCCTGTTCATGGCAGTCCACGGTGTTCACCGTGAACCGAGACTGATGCCGGAGCAGTCCCTGCACGCAACGAACTCTGATAGATGCAGCAAGGAGGAGCAGGCGGCACTGGGGGGGAACCAGCTTTGAAGCTGGCTTCTCCCAGAGCTGGCTCCAGTTTCTCTCCCCTCCTTGCTGCCTCTCAGAGGCTGTGGAGAAGCGAGTAGTCGATACTCCAGTCGACTACTTGCTAACATCCCTAACTGAGGTTCTACAAGGGTTAAAAGATGCAATAATGTCAAATTCCTTCACTTCAGAGTTCACACACAGAGCTGAAGTCAAAATGCCTTCAGGAATCACCCTGTTTTACAGAAGTAAAAAAACATCATTATACAAGCTCTAAACATGATTTAAGACTTGCTCATAGGATAAAAGATCCCTTCCTCACACACCCCAAAAACAATGTGATTTTAAAATGTGCTGGTGGAAGAACTCAGAGAGTCTCCTTTACCTCAAATTTCTTTCAAGGAGAACATTTTAAAATAGCTGAAATCTTAAAAAAACATTTTACGAGAAGATTAGTACTTCTAATGCTATAGTCTGACAAATGATATGAACATCTCAATCTGGATAGGAATTTTGCATTTGAATTTCTAGAAAATGTATATATAAGCATATCAGCAGCAGGACTGCCAACTTATGACAATTTAAATACGGGCAAGTTCAAGAAATTTGAGAGAAAAATTGTAACTACATCCATGAATATTGTCACATCCTCTCCATTAATAAATGTTTAAAAAACGAACACATTACTATAAGCAAAACTGACTGGTTTACATATCAGTTTTGAAGCAATACAAATATTTTGGTTACAGGTGTGAATTTTTACTGAAAATTACACTACTAACCCTGATATGGATGTAGTTATATCAGTGTACCGTTGTCTTAGTATAATTTATTCCTTTCCAAATACAGGAATGAGCTCTCTTGACCTCACACACATTCGGGCTACACTTTTGCCAGTCCAGTAATGTTGATTAGAGGTATAACTTTTCATGGCATTGTTATACAGGTAAAAACCCTAGTACAGAAAATTATAACAACAAAAACGCTTTTGCTGGTATGAATTGTCTCTCCACAAAAAGGATTTGGCATCTGTACAGATAGTTTTAACCTTGCCCTCCCCTGGCAGGAGGCTAGTTCCAAGAGTGCAATCCTCCCATTGCACACTGGACAATCTTTACATATTTCAAACTCACCCACCCCACCCACTCTCTGCTGCCTTCAGAAATGAGATCCATACCCACACAGTGGGAGTTAAGACCATCCCTCACACCCTCCCTGCCTCCCCCTCCTCAGAATTGCAGATCTCCCGACATGGGTTGGGGGACGCTCTCCGTCCCCCCAGAATCACAATCTCCCTTAGGGGCCTGTGCACCCCACTCTGCCCCATACACACCTCGCCAACCCCCCCCCCCTTACCTCCAATGATGGTGCGGATGAGGGAAGCGTGTCCCGGACAATCCACAAGAGTGAGCTGGAGCTCGCCGGGGCCGGGGCCCAGGTGCGGCGGCAGCGAGGTGCGGAGGCAGGAGAAGCCCAGGTCCAGGGTGATGCCGCGAGCGCGGCTCTGCGGGGCCCGGTCGAAGGCGGCGGTGGAACTGGTGGTGCTGAGCGCCCGGGCCAACGCTGTCTTGCCGCTGTCGATGTGCCCCAGCACCCCCACGTTCACATTCAGCCTCCGGGGAGTGCTGGGCCCCGAGGCAGGGGCAGCAGCGGAACCGGCCATGGCTACTCAGTTGCCCTCGCACACCGCCGGTCCGTCCCAATAGCGCCCCGCGGCAACAGGAACGCCGCGGCTGCCGTTCCGGCCTGTCTCCGCGTCACGCCTCCTCTGGGGAGAAGAGGAACATCTGAGCCGGGCGGAGTTTGGGGTCGCACACACAATAGGCCCTGGGGCTGGCTTAGGGCGCCGTATGACCCGGCCCCGCAGTCTTTCAGGGACTGTCCTTTTCTAAAGCCGACACTGAGTTGAGCCCTGTACCAGCCCCATGAACCCTGGCTGCTGCTCCCAGGGAGCTTGCAATCAAAACCAAACACAACGCCCAGGACTCATGGGAAATTGCCAGCTTTCTAACTGTTCATATCCAAGCACCCGAGTCATGCCCACAGCCTAGACGCTCTGCTATGTTCCCCCTCCCTTTGGTATCTTCCTGTCCTCCACCCTCACTCACTTTCCCTAGGCTGGGATGGAGAAGGAGATGAAGGCGCTAATTAGGGGTGCAGGATCTCAGGTGAAATCAGAAGTGAGGGGTTCATTTGTGGGCAGGGGTAACACCTGGAGCACCAATACCACCGCTCCCATTGGTCAGGAACCATGATGGGTATGAAGGTAGTGCCAAGAGCCTCCTTGGCTATGTCTATACTGGTGGGTTCTTGCACAAGAACAGCGGTTCTTGCGCAAGAACCCGCAGAGCGTCCACAAAGCTTGCCCGCTCTTGCGCAAGAAGATTTACACTAAAATGTGGGAAGAGAGGGCTTCTTGCGCAAGAGCTATGCTCTTTTCTAACAAGTGTAAGCCCACTGGCGGAAGAGCTCTTGCGCAAAAGGGCAGTGTGGACTCGCTATGTTAAAATGGCCATCAGAGCTTTCTCGCACAAGAGAGCGTCCACACTGCCATGGATGCTCTTGTGCACAGGCACATGACTGTGTGGACGTGTTCTTGTGCAAGAGTTCTTGCGCAGGAATGATTGCGCAAGATGTTCTTGCGCAAGAACCCGCCAGTGTAGACATAGCCAACTTGTGTGTAGGGGCTGCGAAGGCATCATTTATGGGGGATTAGGATGATCTGTAAAGTTTGAACCTCTGCATTTTATACTTGAGGTCTGTTTAAAGCATATTCCCTAGCTTAAAGTGGGAGGCAGGGTGACTAAGATAACATAACGTTTATCATTCAAGCAATTGAAAGATGGTTAGATGATCACTCATTGCCAGGTACTCCACTTTAAATATAGGGAGAACAGGTAGGAATAAATAGTAGTAAGCTCCAGAGCTCTGCATTTGGACCACTTCTGTATAACGTATTCATAAATCAGGGTGATGCAGCTGCCAAATCTGACCCAGGAACTACCCCAATGGGACCTTAGGGTACAGAACCGCTCCATGCCTCTTTAAACAGCTGGCTGCTTCCTGAAGCATCTACACCAGAGGGAAGGAGCTCTGTGCGCTATCTCTCCGCTCCCAGCAAAATCTCTCAGCTCCTATTGGCTAGTTTCCCACCAATAGGAGCTGTGAAATTTTGCTGGGGCACAGGAACAGTGCACAAAGGCTCTTACACCCACCCCTGGAATAGCCACGTGGAGCAACCAGCGGCTTTGAGCAGCCTGAGGCTGTGGCAGGCAGGAAGCCTGCATCAGGATCCTGCCGCGCTGCTAGCTGGGAACCCCCATAATAAGTGCCTCCTGGTCAGTGCCTGCCTCTGACACCCTCACCCTATCCTTCCCCAACTCCCTGTCGCAGGCCATCAACACCCATAACCTTGGCACCCCATTTCTTACAGGTCACAACTCCCTCCCAGATCCTGTACTCCCTTCTACATTTCTCCCTTAGGCTAGAATCCTCTCCTCACTCATACCCCCTCCCAGACCCTCTAACTTAAGCCCTTACCCCAGATCACAACTCTTCCTTCTCCCAAATTTCTTCTCTGGCCCCACACCCTCTCCTGAAACCCAGTCCCCTGCCACAAGCTCCTTTCTGCACCCAATCTCCGTCCCAGATCTCACATACACCCATAGAAAAGTGCAGCCCTTGACCACTTAGCAAAATCTTAGAGTGGCTCCTAGGGTTGCCAGATACCTTTAAAAAAATCCCAAACAGACAGGGAAAATTTGGATGAGCAAAAAAAAAAAAAAAAAAAAGGAGACAAAAAAAAAATATTACCGTGCTCCTCACACTCCCTGCACTTGCAGATGTTGCCAGCCAGCCATCTGAGGAAAACAAAAAATACCGGACATTTTACATATCCGGTATTCTGGTTTTTTTTACCGGACAGAAGACCAAAATACTGAACTGTCCGAGCAGGGCCAGCCCACAACATTTTGGCACTTGAGGCGGGGAGCTCAAATGACGCCCCCAGCCCCCTTGCTTGGGCCAAAACTTTGAAAGGTCTCAATTCTGCCTTCTTCCTGTTCTACTCCTCTCATGGTACTACAGAGAGAATACATATGTACCAGCAGCAGACAGAATTTTCTACACTCTGGGTCCTAGTGGCGCCCCCCCTACAGTCTGGCACCTGAGGCGGCCTCCTCAGTTTGCCTCATGGTAAGGCCAGCCCTGTGTCCCAGTGACAGCTGGCAACCCTATTTGTACACTGTAAAATATAGTTAAAACATTAGTTGTTGTTGGGATTAATATTGATCATTATTTTTCCTTCTATAGCTGGGTCAACATTAAATCTCTCCTTCATGTTCATAAGCTAAAACCTTATCACCTTTCTTTTTATGCATAATTATACTCTGACCTGGTGATTCTTTAAAGAATACTGTACTATATTAAGTGCTTTTAAAATTCTCTCTGATTTGCTGAAAAATAAGTGCTGCAGTTGTCTTAAAACTTCCAAACCAAATGTTAAAGGCCCATGAAATTGTTTAATTTGATGTAGATTATGAGCTCTCAAATCTAATAAGTAAATTTGTCCAAAGAGCTATTTGGTCTTATTCCTTTCATCATAATAAAATAAATAATTTCCCTACTGAATGCTTGTATTATTCTGCCTCTGCAGCTACTTATCACTTAGCAATATTTAAGCAATCTTATGAAGGAGCACATATTTTTCTTAACTCTCCTTTGTATGCATGTGTTTAGGTAATGTCACTGCCTCAGTTACTTTCTTTGTATGTGTCCAAATGAGGATAAATTTGACACAAGTTTCTTAGGCCCTATACTATACTATAAACCAGTGTTTCCCAAACTATGGGCCGTGGCCCGGTACCAGGCCGCGGGAAAAAAATACTGGGCCTCAGCGTGCCTGGTGGCTGCTGGGAAGGGAGCAGAGCAGAGCGGAGCAAGCTGGGAGGAGGTGGCGGGGGGGGGAACCGGCCGCCGGGAGGCAGGGTTGGGGGCAGTGAGGCTGTCCTGTGGAGATCAGGGCAGGCAGGCAGGCGGCCGGCGGATGCAGGGTTAGGGATAGCAGGGCTGTCCCACAGAGATCCAGGTGGGTGGGCAGCCAGCAGAAGCAGGGTTGGGGGCAGCGGGGCTGTGCCACGGATATCCAAGCAGGCGGGGAGAGGAAGCAGGACTAGGGGTAGCAGGGATGTCCCGCGG